TTTTGTGCTATATGATACGTCATATTTATATGATACTTATATAATATATATTCATATTTGCAGTGTAATTAATAATTCAATGCGATGTCCCTGTTTTATCGGTTGTCGCATTACCAGAGACTATACTTCTGCCTAGACAGGACACTGGCCTTAATGGAGACTGTTCGTCATGCCATTGATCCAAGGGTGCCAGTCTATTTTTTTGCTAGTAATCATGGCATCGATGATGCTGCGATTTGATTAACTACACAGCTGATTGAACATAAGTCTTGCACCCTAAACACTGTAGGAAAGGCAAGTCGATTGCCAAGGCGTGAAATCAGTCCAACGTTTCACAACCGCAGGGTCATGAAAGATCCTGTGCTAAGGGTTGGTGCTGCTCCTGCAACCCGAATCTCTTCTGTAGATCTTCACTGCTAGAATAATGAGCGACAAAACTGGCGCATACATCATGAATTCGTAAGACACAGCCACCTGAGAAGCGATGTTTATCATCTTGTCGACACTTCCATATGATTTTAGTCATCGTAATCAGTCAATCATTGCTAAGGCCAACCAACCTATCGGTTGCGGAAACGTAATGATTAGGTAGGCGAGAAACGCTAATTCGTAAAATACCTCACTCGGGTTTTCATGTCCTAATTGTAACTCAAAATGGATTAGTTGGGTGTTTCTTGCGTAATTTTTTCAGGGGGAACGAGGAACAGTTTTTGAATTAATTTTTGCGCTCATCCGAGATAATTCAATTTCTGGTCATTGGGCGATTGCCTAAGTTGACTATGTTTTCGCTCATCAGCAGAGTTTAAATGCAAAGCTTATCGAGTATTCGGCTACTCGGACAGTTCTGAAAAATGAATAGGGAAGATCACATGAAAACGGTCTGATTTACTGTATTCACAAATCTTGTTGTCTATATGTTGTCTTTAGCGTGATCTCATTTGACTCCTAATATGCATGAACATATCTTTGAGTATCTATATAAATTACGGATATTTGGCACATTCTTCATGTACAGATCTCAAAGCTCACTTAAATTAGTGAGTGCGCTTAAGGAGAATGAATCGAAAGGGGAAATACTCTGCAGCTTAAAAATATAAACAGACTCTTGTGATAATAGATTAAGAAAGGCTGTTGGATGGTTGGAAAAATTATTTAATAAGTGAAGCTTTTGAAACCCACGTTGGTGTTCCTTTTTCAGCCAAAGTTTATCATATATAATTATATTATATTAATGGTTTGTGCCAAAGCAGGAACACCGCTGTGGATTCCAAATGATTTACTTATTAAATATATGTTTCAGGCTTCTAATCGCGTTTTTTAATATACGAAGTGTAATGTTCGTTGCTTTTCTAACAGCGTTCGTGCAATAAATTTTGGCCTTTTAATTTAACGTTGCATTATTTGATGTTTCACTTCCGTTCTGTAACCATCCTTTCATTAGCTGAAAGGAAAGAATTCATTTTCATATTGCTCGGGTGGGCATGAATGCTTTGGCCACAGTAATTGTGCAGCCAGATCATTTAGTTCTGGCTTCTTTTTCGCCATAATATTTGCGATAAAATCTATCAAAATTCTGAAGCTTTGGCAATGAACATATTAACGTCAATTTAATTTTATTGCAGTTTTAAAAACTTTGCCTTTTAATCATCCATTGTTTCCAACATGGAAATCAAAATATTTCATCTACAATGATTTCCTCGGGTTTAAACGAAACACCTGAGTAAAAATTTTAATCTGCGCTTCAATTTGGTTATCTAAACTGCGTGAGGCATATATCGCCAAAACGTCTGGGCGTATATTATTTCCATTATCAAAATTTAAACCTTCGTCAGTCGCCTCTGCGAAGGACATAAAAATAGAGGTCCTTGATTCTGGAAGCACGGAAGAAGGTCAAATGATCAATTAAGTAAAAACAGGTTGAGGATGTAAATCACGACTGGGAACCACACCGTGACGATGAAAAAATTTTATCCCCCATTTTTGAAAAACAGCAGGGGAGAAACAGTTTACTAATGCGCAACACAACATTATGGTTTATTGAATGACAAACCGATGCCGAATTTTGGCCCATATTTCACGGACCTCTTTCAAAGCAGTGTGCTAACGTAGTTCGTTGGTTGTTTGGGTTGTTTTTAGCAAGTGTCTTCTTTGGAATCGAAAGGAACGTCGGTATCTGTCTATTATTCCATAAACATGTATTACATTGCGTGGTGCATTAATAATCATTTTTGTGCCGTTTTTCAATATGACATCAGTAAACGAACTAACCGTAGTAAAATTCCGTTACGGCCTGCTCCATTAAGCCACGGATTCAGGCATATCATGGGTCCAGTAATGCTCCCTGATTCCAATTATATTCTTCATAAACAACTTCTTCATTCGAAATTTTACCGCGATGAGTCTAGCAGTGGCGCTACCTCAAACGATAGCATCTTGGTGGTCGATCTACGTGACCCGGAACCACATTCTTGATTGATAATGGGAGAGAAACATTCATGCTGCTCTATCTATTGCATCAAAGTGGTGTTAATCGCTCGACAGAACCAAGAGAAATGTGAGTTTCCGATTCGTAAAATATGGAACTATTTCAAGAACTTTAATTAAAGTAAATTTCACTAAATTATAATAGTGTTAAAATATTTTACAATTTAATTTTTTTATGATGAATATACTTTGACAGGTTTTCAATTACGACTGATAAAATTTATGCAAACCCGACAAGTTTCTATAACACAGACATGTTTCTGTCTGCCACAGTCCTCGTTATAACACAACTTTGACGTATTCCTTCTACTGTTAGCAACAGGAATAGGATGAATTGTCGCGAGACCCTCCTCGATACGTTCTCGTCTATGTGTATGTTACCTTCCAGAATGAACTGTAAGTGATTTGCGGTTCCGTCCAGGCCGTTCGTCCGTGGTTTTATTGGATTCTGACTGTTACTATGACTTGGCCATACCGGTACGGATATGGACGGATTCCTACTCTGGACAGTAACATATACGGTACAGTCGTTTCGCACCGAACGTCTTGGTTCTTATCCATCGTGTAACGTTAGGAAGCTACAGTTTCAGCGACGCGTGTCGTACACAGCGGCCTTTGTTGTTGTGGAGGCGACACTTGCTTGTTATGGCTGCTGTCGCCGCCATTATCTGCTGCCAGCTGTCCGACATGGTACACAATAGACCATCGGTCTGAACACCGACTGACCGCCGACATCGTTCATCACCACCATCAGCGGGAGCAGCAAACCATTGTGTAGAGGGAGGCGGAGGCGGCGACTGCTGCGGCGGCGGTATCAGAGACTCCATTCCGTCTGCTTGTCTGTCTGTTGTTTCCCGACACTCAGCCGCACCCACAAAACGACCGATGACCTTACATCAACTAACGGTCATGGTCATCGTGACGTCGCACTTGTCCAGCTGTCATGTGTTTGCCGCTGTCGTTTGGCTAAGGCTTAAGTCTCTCTTGGTGTGCGTAGATAATGAGCTGGCTGGCAACACTTATCCGTCGGATAAGCACCACCGTATTTGATACATTGATAGCAGTGATGTGCACGCATGACTTGAGTTCGTTCCTCACCCGTCTATTCGCATACATGTTTGGCAAAAGATGATAAACAGGGAGGCTCTTTGATCAGAGGAAACGATTGGTAGACTGGTGCACTTCCCTTCCCCGGCACCAGTCAAAAGGAGGGAAGGCAAACATCTCTTTGGCGAGACGACACGACTGACCGACGACACAAAAATACGAGCACCGTCCTCGTGATCGTATGAGTCAGCTATGCGAATGTCTATTTACGGTCGGTCTGTTTCTCTGTTGCCCGCCCTTCTCTAATATTAATGAAGAACCCGTTAAAGTTCGCTGCGACTGCTGTTTCGGATTAGGCGACGTACGAGTTGAGTTGTTTAGCTGACGTCCGGCCGCGTCTAAATGCCGCAAAGAGGAGAAGGGAGGAAAATCGATCAACCGGCCAACGACATGCGTGCCACCAGCGTGTCTCGCATGTTGGAGTATCTCCGTTGCTAACCATTTCTTTCTGGCAACTGGTCAAAC